TTTTTATCCATCTTTCGCGAAGAATGGAGCTGCGTTGGAGTGTTTGATAGTATTTTGGGTGCTGTTATATCGGTACACCATACAATTTGCAGAAAGAAAAGGCTGAAAAGTTTTGAGGTTAATGTGTTACAAATAAATCAAGCATAAAGCTTGAGATACTATTTTAACCTGGTGAAATGTAAATGTCACAGGGCACGAAACTATATTCATTTCTTTTCTTTTTTTAAATCCATCTGGACCATATGGGACTCTCAAAGCCTTGACATCCGGGTATCCGGGAGACAAGTCGGTAAATTCGAGTAAAATCACAGGCTTCGCTTATCCCGTTCGAATGCACCACACGAAATTCAGAGGTGGGGGGTTAATTTCAAAATCACACAAGGTCCCCAGATAATACTAATCCCGTACTTAAGCTGTTCGCCAATCACAACGCACTGGGACAGCTAACCAATCATAACACATTTTGTTTTTCGGAAGGCGGACCTTCATCAAAGCCGGAACTAATCGAGTCGTTTAATTGTGCCAGGATGGGGAGAAAGTATTTTAATAATGTAAATTATGTGAAAAATAATGCGTTTTTCGAACCACCAAGCATGAGACCATGTTCTAGTACACCCCCAAAACAAAATCAAGACTTTGTAAAAGAGCATAATAGGACCCCTTTAATATTTTTATGGTTAAGAGTTTGTTTAAAATATTTTTTTCTGCATGTAGGTAATTATAAATGGATTTTCTTTTCTTTGAGAAAAACATCTGCCAAGAACAAATATAAGTTTATTTATAGGTGTGTGTAAAAGTGTCTTTTGCACCATTAAAGGAACCCCCCAAAAAATTATAAATAAAATAAAATAAAACAAATATAAAATCTAAATTAATAAATCAAATTAAATAAATTCACTGCAGATGATCCATTGGTTAGCAAGTGATGTAATGATAAATTTATCCAAATCTCTTCCAGTGAAGAAACAAATTCCTCAACATTTTGGATGGCCTGAGGGTAAGTATTTAAATTTTTGGGTGAACTAATCCTTTCATATAATCTGACATAAACTCGCTGTATCCTGAACTCCTCAGCATTTTAAACTCTGTTCATATGAACATTAGAAATATTCAAAGGTCTGTGCAGGATTATGTTAAATGCTCACAAGCTCCTCACATTCTTGTGTGTAACCGAACAGGCCTTTTACAATCTTGAAAGAGGTGAAAGAAAGCCAGCCCTCCAGTGGTCGCTGAGGTAAAGCACAGAAATCATGCTGAATATATTCTTATTCAGGGACCTGCAGTCAATGGCAGTACAGTTTTGCAGTTTTGGAAGAATAATTTAACTATATTGTGACCTGGCGTTATGTATAATTGTATAACCTATGTATAACCTTTTCTTATGTATACGTGTTTAATCTCTAGATGTATTCCTAGAGAAAGGCATCCTAGAAGTCCTGCCGTTAAATTTATCTTATCTGCACCACAAGGTTTTCAGAATGCAAATGTTACGACCAGCTCACACAGCTATCAGCACCACATGATGACCTGCTCTGAGCACAGAGGGAACTTTCAGTGTTAGGTGGGTGTTATTTTGGGTTCTTCAGGATGATGCTGGTGTCCCTTTAATGAAACCTGACCTGCACATGCACTGACTGCTGTTTATATACTAACTTTGTGTACTACAACAGGAAGAAGCTTCAGCCAGACAGATTTTAAAGAAAAGATTCCCTGTGGCAGACCTTTTAAGGTGTGTATTTTAATTTAATATGTAGATATATTTGTTTTATAGTTAACCAAGTAAAAGTTAGTGCTTTGTTGTCACAGGGGGCTGACTTCAGATATGGAAATGGACTGTATTAACACAGAAACCCAGATAAATGGATACCCAAAACAGGACATAAGCCATGTTGCTCAGTCGAATTCACAGATTGTTTGTGATGAATGTCGAAGAAAACTCAGAAGTTTGTTACCAGTAAATTATAAAGAAGAAATTATATAGCTGCTAAAACTGGCTGGACCAGTGGTAAGTGTGACTATTAAGTTGACAAAAGTGTCAAAAGTAAATGAGATATAGCATTGAATTGTTATTGATTTTTTTTTTAAGTATAACAACAATTTAATTTAGTTTATCTATTAATTATGTTTTCATTCATATGTTTCAATTAATATATTTTCAAATCAATTTAATATGCCATGTTCAGTTTAGCTGAGAGCAAACATCATTAACGTCACTTAAGATCCAGTGTAGAGTCAAATTAAGGCCTTATAATGAATTTTAACTGACAGTGAAAATGTATTGTAACTGTTATACAGTAAATGTTCTCCTCTTCGTGCAGTTTATATCTCAACTGATGATCTTTCTGATCAGCTTTATCAGCACTGTGTTCTGTGGACACTTGGGGAAAACTGAACTGGCCAGTGTGGCTCTGGCTATTGCTGTGAGTTCAAAAAATAACTTAATTATGGCAATCATTAAAACTCTCATTGTGTTTGTAAATACATCCTTTTTGCTCACAGGTTATTAATGTGACCGGCATCTCCATCGGCTCTGGATTGGCATCTGCATGCGATACACTCATCTCTCAGGTCTGATAGTGAATGTTCAGTAATGTGAGTGTCGTTTGTACTCAGGTGTCATTTGAATTGAATTGTGTCCTCCAGACATTTGGCAGTAATAATCTGAAGCGGGTGGGTGTGATACTGCAGAGAGGGATTCTCATCCTCCTGTTGGCCTGTTTCCCCTGCTGGGCGCTGCTCATCAACACCGAGCCCATCCTGCTGGCTGTCCGACAGAGTCCCAGTGTGGCCAGGTCTGACACTTTCAGCATTTACTGGATGTTATGCGTTAAATAATGTTCCTGTTTAGCGAAACGGTGGTAGTAAATTATGCAAGTATTATTAAATAAATTGGTTTAAACAAGATTCTTTAACTGTGTGTGATTGCTTTTTTCTCTCAACAGTCTGTCACAACTCTATGTAAAAATATTCATGCCTGCTCTGCCTGTAAGTGACACATAAAACTTTTTTGCACACTATCATTTACACTGCAATTAACATCAAAAATTCACAAACATTAAAGGAACAGTTCACCAAAAAAATTATAAATGTTAAGTAATCATCTACTCAAAGCTCATGCTGCTCCAAACGTATATGATTTTCAGTGAATAACTCTTTAAATTTCACTCAAAGCTCCTCACACAAAGCTTGACTTTGATTTTACAAGACTTTGCAAGAATACTTCAAACGGGTCACTTTAACGGCTTTTGTTGTAGTTTTGTGGTTCATTGTAGCCTTTTTGGAGCTTGACAGTTGCCAGAGTATTTTGTGTTTTGGGGAAAATATCTCCTTTACCTTTTGGAAGGACATGAGAATGAGTAAATAATGAGACATTTATTTATTTATTTATGTTTTCCTGCCAGTTTCCAACAACAATTTTCTTATTTGCTTTAAAAAAAAAAAAAACCTACAGGCTGCCTTTATGTATCAGCTGCAGGGCTTGTATCTTCAAAATCAGGTAACCTCCAAGTTCTTACATTCGTGTATTTGCCGACACTTTTATACAAAATGACTTACATTGCATTTAAGCATTAAAGTAATACATTTAATGCCTAAGTTTATGCCTTCCTTGGTAATCAGACTTTGGTGTTGCTAGCTCCATGGTCTGCTGTTTGAGTACTGTATTCTGTATATTGCTGTGATCCTGATGGCCTTTTTTCTTTGTTTGGTTGTTTAGGGCATTATTTGGCCTCAGATCATCACAGGAACAGCAGGAAATGTCCTCAATGCTTTAATAAACTACATCTTCCTTTATGTTCTTGATCTTGGTGTGGCGTAAGAAGCTGTCTAGATTCTGTATAGCCTATATTTAGAGACTATATTTCTTGTTTTCTTCATTATTTGAATGATAACCTGATGTGTTCACAGAGGATCTGCTGCTGCAAATGCAATTTCCCAGTATTCCTTGGCAGTGATTCTCTATTTGTTCATCCGATGTAAGGGCCTGCATAAAGCCACCTGGGGTGGTAAGTTTCTCCTGTTCATTTCTGCAGAGATCGGTTTCCTAGTTCAGCATCTTGGAAAAACAAGCACATTCTACAAGACTAATTTCCTCATATTCACATGGTGTCATTAATAAACTATGTACATTGTTTTGACATGAATAATTGGTTTAAATTCTGTTTGTTGTTAATTAGTTTGTTATTTAAATGTGTGTTATTTTTCTCCCATGTGTCCTGCTGATATTGCCTCAAACACACACCATTAGGCTGGTCTTGTGACTGTTTGCAGGAATGGGGTGCCTTCATTTGCTTGGCTCTTCCCAGCATGCTCATGCTTTGTGCAGAGTGGTGGACATATGAGATTGGTGGATTCCTTGCAGGTTTGTAAACTTTGTGTATTTATTTCATTGTTTTTTTTTTCTCTTTAAAATATTTGACATATTTGATAAATATTAGTGTATTTTATTCTCCCCCTCCCCCCACCCCCATACTTTTATTGCAGGACTCATTAGTGAAGTCGAGCTTGGGGCTCAGTCTGTCGTCTATGAACTGGCCAGCATTATGTACATGGTACTGTCAGCGTTACATGGTCTGACCTGATTTTGCTTAATAGCATGTGTTCCTGACTGGATCAACCTCTTTTGTTGGTCCCGGAAACAAACCCAACCCTAACTTCAAAATCCTAAACAAAAAGCATGTACCACAGTTTACACACAAAAAAATAAAAAATAAACGGCATGACTGTGTTCAACTCTGATAATAATAATAAATGTTTCTTGATCAGCAAATCAGCATATTAGATTTAGAAGTTAGAAGTTAGATTGAGAAGTTTCATGTGACACTGAAGACTGGAGCTAATGGCTGCTGAAAATTCAGCTTTGCCACCACAGGAATAAATTGCATTTTAAAATATATTTACAGAGAAAACTGTGCCAAAAAGTAGCCCAGTTTGCCATTGGTCACCAAGTCATTGTTTCCTCCTTGTCATTCAGTTTCCACTGGGATTTGCAGTGGCAGCCGGTGTGAGGGTGGGAAATGCACTTGGAGCTGGAAACACAGAACAAGCCAAGCTGTCTGCCAAACTGTCTTTAGTCTGTGGACGTAAGTGGTCATTTCAACAGCTTTAAATGATGCTGAATAGGTCTAATTATTTGGAAATCTGCTGATATATCAGTGCAATATCAAAAAGAACATGTTACATCAATTATTGTTGAAATGAAACAAAGTATTACTTTTTTTATTCGCTATTTTCACTAGCAACTGTTACATTTTCAGAACTCTTAGTACTAATATCACAACAAATCATCAAAAGTGCACTTTTTTCAAACATTTTAGCATATTTTCAATTGTCTTAGTACAGTACACAAAATCACAGATTATCCTTTTCGCACAAAATAAGTGTTTCATCTATATAAATGTTTCATTCACAGTAACTGCCTTTCATAAAGCTCTTACTATCAAACTTTTCATTTGCATGTCTTCTCATTCAATACATTTGTCTATTATTTAATCTAACTCATCTTAATGGTTAATCAGTGAACCATTTTGTGCATCTATTGATATGGGGGGGAGGGTAGGTTTAGGAGTAGGGATAGTGTATGGGGGATAGAATGTAGTTTGTACAGTATAAAACCCACTACTCCTATGGAATGTCACCATAATGATAGGAATACCTGTGTGCGTCCGTGCGTGCGTGCATGCGTGTGTGTGTGTGTGTGTGTGTGTGTGTGTGTACCTACTTAACCATAGTTTGGGGACAAATTGGTACCCAGAAGTGAGCAAAGCCTGACAAAATCACTGAAAAACCTCCCTGTGAGGACGTCCTAATTTGTAAAACTGTATGTTTTGCAATTTGTGAACATACAGCAGGATACAAGAGAGAAGAACTTATCAGAGATGTATCAGAAGAAGGGAGACAGATGACATCAAATACAGCATTTTACATTACATTATGCCATGTGATATAGAGGCATCACCATGGTAGAGACTACACATTACTATAACTCACCTTTCATCTGAAAAGTTCAGCTACAGTATAGATTCAGTCATATAGCACAGTGAGGACATTCAGTAAACTCTGTTCCAGAACAAAAACTTATGGCCATGTCATACCTTCATCACACCTTTTGATACAGTAACATACTGGATAAATACTTTTACAAACATTATGGATTTTATGTGAGTTATCCAAGTTAGGTAATGTTAAGTGTATTTTCTAACATGACAATTATTGCCCAAATTACTGTAATTATTTCAGCAACAAAGATAATTTGAAACATGTATCTTGCATTGTTTGCTTCTGAATGAACTGAATGTTAAAAGTACAAAATTGTTTTAATTTAATAATTTTATTTAATTTAATTTGTTTTTAAAATGATTATGTTGATTGAAAACGTATAATTGTAATGAATTATAATTGCATGAGATCAGTTTTGAAAGTAATGACTAATGAAGTGTGATCTGTTTGGATTTCTGTACTAAGAGTTTTGAAAATATACACCTTACTTGTGAAAGTACCAAAGTGATTTAAAAAACTCTAATATTATTGTTACTCATACAGTGATGTTTTACAGCCATTTTCTTTCAATTCCTGATTAATTTCGCTTCTACTCTAGTACTTGTGTCCTGTGTGATTGCAACCATAATTGGAGGTACTAACAATGTTATTGGATACATCTTTAGCACAGATGAGTAAGTTACCAGAATTACTGTTAATAGTAGTCCACATGGTGATATTATTATCTCACAGGGCTTTTTTTACAATTATTTTAACACTAGAACCGCCAGGGGTCGCTGTATACCTAAAACCGCCAGCGGGTAAATTTTACCCACGCACATGACAGCTGTTTCTGAATGGCTAAAGAACATATTATTTCACTGTATTATGCTACTGTCTTCACAAAGAAGTGTCTAGAGTCATGAAATGATTATGTCTAGTCATCAACTATATTTTTGTCCTGTTGTTTTATGTTCAAAACTTTTTTATGCAGGCTACACAGTCACTTTTCATAACGGTCAATATTAAGCTAAACAAGCCTGCACACTGACAACAGAATTAGAAGGAAGTAAATACATATTTGGGTGGTGTAACAGGCTATTATAATACAATGTCATTAATCAATATATTAAGATAACCTATGTTATTTAAATTACTAAAATAGCCTATAGACAATAATGAGCAATAATAATTCACCACATTGATGATGCGATGACAAATTCAAGCTCAGCTTCACCTAATTAATTATTAATTTGTTTAGTTATATCATTTATAATTTGAATTATACAAGAAGAACACCAATAAACTTAGGGTAATTAAAAAAAAGGTTTTATTCATTAGCCTGTATCAGATCAGATTTTTTTTCTTCTGGAAACAGGCAGACTAGAATAAATAGCAACACAGAAGCAAACAATAAATGATAGAAATGGCAAAACAAAAATTAAATAATTAATCCAAATTTTGAACAATTATGAGTAACATTAGGATAAAACGTCTAAATATGATATATTGATCGCTGTCAGATGCTGAGCCGACAGGATGCTTTACTTATCTCCCCACCATCAGACTCTCCATCGCTCATGGCATTTAGTGCTTCTTATACCTCTTCAGCATTCATAAATCGCCTTCTTTTACTCATTGTGTCTTTATTTATGAAACTGATAACCGCTAATTCAGTGAGTGAAAGGTGGTGTCTAGCAATGTACTATGTTAAAACATAAGCGGCACGAAAATGACAGCGCGAATATACAGGCATTATATAGCGGGTAAATTTGACCCGCGCTGGCGCTTATAGGTATAAATGTTTTTAACAACAGGGGATTGTAAAGCACACAATTTTAGTAAAAGGCAGTGATTGGGATACTTGAATGTTTTATTAAAAATATTTTATGTACGTTTTAAAAACAGCCACGGGTAAAATTTACCCCGTGGCGGTTCTAGTGTTAAACACGTGACAATGTTGAAACTATGTTACGGTTTCTGTTGATTGTGTGACTGGTTTTTCATTAAATATGTCCCTGGACCACAAAACCAGTCATAAAGGTCAATTTTTCAAAATTGAGATTTATACATTGTGACCAGTGGGGGCGGGGCCGAGAGCCGTGGGAACGGAGCAAGGCCGGTGGAGTATATTGATAATGAGCGACACCTCATTATCACCTCAATATACTCCGGTGGAGTATATTGATAATGAGCGATTCGATCCAGCGATGGCGCCGCAGACGGCAGCCTCAGTGTTTGGCTCTCCAGTGTGGGGAAGTGAGCCGGCGTGCTCGTGAAGCTCAGGAAGCGCAGATTCAGAATGCCGTTGCCGAGCATCCATATGGCGAATCTCCGCTCTCTACCCAACAAAACGGACTACCTT